GCATCGGCGGGCGCTCTTACTCATCGACAACAGACAATTTATTGGATTTTTGCCCAAACAAAACTGAGCAGCATCTACAGACATGAACTTTATTGTCACTTATTGGGCTTTGATAAAACATCAAACGTTGCTTACAATTCAGACGAAACTCAAACTTGCAATTGTTATTTTTTTTTTATTTTTTTTTTTTACTGTTCGGTCGAGATAGACTGGCGAAATCCTCGCAAGCGTGTGGCAAGAGGAGGGAAACTTTAAGTCCTGAAACGTTGCTATATCCAAATATATCCAACTAGTGTTTTGCTGTGTTTTGAAAAAGCTGTTAATCTTTAATAAATGTGAAACTTAGAGTGGAGTTCTGTGGAGCTCTTGTAATAGAAGCAGCGGAACACAACTTGGTCAGTGATATCGTAAAGCGGCACATAACTAAACTCGACACTGTCTTACTCCACTCAAATTGAAGCAGCTTACGACGAAAATACTGAAGTAAAATTCCAACAGACATGAACGTATTGAGTTGTGGGCATCACAACAGCATCAAACATTTCGGGAATTTCGGACGCCATTTCCCCGCGCTACATCTGCAAAAATCCTCGCAGCATGTACGCGTATGTGCCGCACATGATAGCGCAATTTGTTCTAAAAATAGAAAAATTGCCCCATGTCATAGGGACAGCCCCAATACTAGAAATGGCGCGCGCTTACGGTCTCCGTCCCCGATTATGGCTCTAGCTGTGGAGTAATGTACACACAGTGCACCCCAAGATAAATGAACGACGTCCGTAAAATGCCTGCGCCTCTGTACAACAACTTGGGTTTGATATGTACGAAGGGCAGTCCATCCCGTAAGGTGGCGAAACCTTGGTCCAGACGAAGTATATATGGATATATATGATATATCTTGTACAGAGATACCCAGCGTATTCTAAACCAGTTTACCATATATACTTAAAAACACTCGTCGTTACCAATATTTTATTGGCTTTATGATCGATTTAGCGATAAGAAGAAAGAGTTTTAAATACTTATTCCCCAGAGGTATAGACACAGGTGTAAATTTAAACTCATATACACCTGATGGCCTAACACTGTAGTGTC